TGCAATATATTCTTCCCTGGCTATGATATCCGGGGAAAGTGAAAAGGTGATCCAGAAGTGACGTCATACACATGGCTTTCCGGATCACAACAAGAAGGGAAGGAGAGCAGACATGTATACGCTCTCCCCCACTGGCACCTGCCATGTCACTCACGGGTCTGCAGATGGGCAAGCGGAGGCCGGAATACATGGAAGGGAAGCATGCGGGGGCTCTGTTACCAGAGGTGTGTGGAAGCAACTGGGCGGCAGAGCAGCCACCAGAATGCTTCCACCTGGGAGGCAGAAATCTGTTTGTCACTTTTACATGCAATCCCGGTGGCTGCAGCCACCAGGTTGTGTGTAAAACCCCCCTTTGTCAGGTCCGTTTGATGTACAGAACTGGCAGTGAAAGAGTTAAAGGGACAGGACATGAGGTAAATTTCCATTATGGGTTTATGGACAGCTATGAAACGTTAGCAACATATTCACTCTTCCCAACTCTATCAACAACTTTAAAGAAGTATAAACAGTTTGAGATGTAGTTTTGGATTCAAGGTAGGCATAGATAAATGAGATGGTGGAAAATATGGCTTTTAATACTTACCTGTTCTTCTGCCCTCACTTGAAGAGCTTCTTCTTACTGAATATTCACTCCCTTACACTTCCAGAAGTGTCAGATGCCTGGTTCCTTTCTGGGCTTTATTTGCCAACCCCTATTTCACTACAGGATACAGTGGTGGCATAAAGGATGATGGTTGGAACCACAAAGGGCAAAGGGGAACTGGTTCACAGCTGGCATTCCCTGAAGTGTCAAATAAAGAAGATACTTTAGCCAGGGATATCTCTTAAAACTGCAAGACAGTTGTGTGGGCAATGGGACAAAGAATAATTTTTTCAAGGTTCTATTCCATTATATTTTTTATATAGTGTTTTCCTTTGCGGTTTTTAACCTCTTTACACCAGCAGTATGCATGTATGTGGCCACTCTGCATGTGGGCCTTTACTCCGAGCCGCCGTATATATGTAGCCCTGTTAAAACTACTTACCGTGCTGAGAAAGTGCTCCCTGCATGCTCACGGTATGGTAGTTGGTGGGGATCAATAAGCTCCCAACGCATACTTGCGATCAGGAGCTTTCCAATAATGTGACCGCTTTGACAGCCGATCAAATGGCCCTAATTACCTGCCTCTGCCTCCAAGCTTTTAGAACCCTTAAAGGGCCGAGAGGTAGTCGGCGTCAAAGGGTCAAGGTTACTTTACAGTATAAGCCAAAGAAGAAATTAAAACGCTGTAGTGTATTAATATTTGCTTTACTAAACAGAAAGGCTGCACATACAACTGCAGGAAAAACAATTCATAGCATATAAGGTATCAAAAATATGCATAGAGTATATACATGCCCAAATCAACTATCCTTCCCAGCAAATTAGCATGAACAATGCATGCAATAGAAATACACTAAAAGTTACTTAACTTAGTTCTTTCTGGTAATGGAGTCTTCTCGTGGCTCCTTACTTCTCAGAGGCCTACAACACAACTGTTTCTTCTCCAAAGTCTCCAGAACGACTGTTGTTCCTTTGTTCGTGAGCACATGGCTTGTTCAAAGTCCCTTTCCTTCCCCTCACTTACTGCTACCTCATGTCCTGTACTAAGCTTCACAAAGCAGACCGACAGGTTCGTTAGCATATTATTAAGGGAGGCCTAGCTTCTAAAAACAACACATAACTAAAATCTAACAATTCACATATCTAAGCTATAAAAAAAACACCAACATAGCCATAGCAAAACAGATGGCAACCAGATTGCTTTAAAGAAGAATGACAGGGAGTTTACTTTTGCAGAAGCATTGAGGTAAGCATAATGTGTAATGACTTACCTCTGTGGCATTCTTTACTAGATACCTGTTTTAAAAACCTGGCATTCCCCACTATTTGGCATTCTTCCCACCATTGTCCTCTAATCCTCTGGCATGCTGGGAGCTTGGGACATCCCTATACTTTTTCTATGAGCCCAACTATTTCAATGTACACACTGTAGAGCAGAAGGTGGTGACCCAGAAATGTGCTATTCAGCAGACAGCAGCTTGTTTAACACAGGGCGCGTGGTACTATAATAATCTCCCTATACCTGCAGAATATAAATGACTTGAGTTTTTCTTGAAAGAATATGTGCACTCATGTTTTGCAGGTCTCACCATGCTAATAATACAATATATAATAGAATATACTTACCTTTCCCACTTTCCTCTGGAGATCTTCACTCTGTACCCTGACCACCTTCACACAAGCTATCTTCAAAAATGTTCTCAGTCAGCAGATACTCTGCCCACACATCACCGACCCTTCACCTCAGTAGCAGGAGCATCACCAGGCTGATGTGCTGCATAAGGGCCTTCTAATTAACTGAACAGTGTGTGCAGGGGTGAATGTACCGTGTAGAAAGATTTTATAAGGAAAGCTGTTCAGTACCAGACAGGCAGCACAAGAACATCGCTGGTGAGAAGCATCAACAGTAAATGTATCCAATGTAGGAAATAAGCTGCATGGGGAGGGGGGCCCACTAAGGATAACTACTCTGCGAGTGTACCTATTCTTTAAATGTAATTTTCCTAAAGACCTGTGTGGCTCAAATTGAAAATGTCTTGCGTGGCAGATTTGTTTTATATGGATATGTATCCAACAGTGGTAAATACAACAATCGCCTGCTTTACAATAAATACAAATTCAGTTGACTTAGGTACAATATGTTTTTCTTTTAGAAAATTGCAGAAAGCAGCAGGAAATGATCAAGTCCTAAATGATGTATGGAGGAATAACAACAACATGCCTGTGGTACTGAACAATCCATACCTTGAATGTGATCAGGTATGTCAAAACATTGCTGATTAAGCTAACCTGTTGTCTTTCCATATCACCGTTAGCAGCTTGTGTGCACTTGTCATATTAGATCGGATTGTCAGATGATGTGCCTTCACAATCTCTGGATTTGTCGTGTATTAATTATTCAGTGCGGCCATCCTGAGGGTAAATTGTCATCGAGTATTGACTAAAAGACCAGTCTGCCAGGATTTTCCTAGCTTCACATCACACTATTGATGTATAAAACCATATTATCTCAGAGATGTGTCAAAATAAACCTATTTAGATTAATCTCTTAAAATAGAGTACATACATAGTGTAAAGTATACTGATTAGTACAGTGTACGTTGGAGTTTGGAGAAGGATTAGATTATAGAATAAAGAAAAACATTTCTTATACATTTCTCATTAGGACATTTTTGCAATTATAAAATGTCTGATTTAAAAGGTACCATCAGTTCTTGTCCACATTAGACCCACATGTATCTTAGATACATTTTTACATATGCTGGTAGGCACTCTAATCAGGGGACTTGGAAGGATTTTTAATGAAGAAGAGAAACACTATGACTTTTCTTTATTAAAGTTCAGCTCAGTGCATAATTTTGGCAATGCCGAGATAGAACTTCGGCGCATGCATGGGAGTGACATCATCTTGTCATGGCTAATGAAAATGGTTAAGTATGTCAGTACCCAGAAGCAGAACAGAAGATGTTAGCGGCTAGCAAGGAGTAGCAAAGGTGAGTATAACAGTAAAATAGAACTAAAGTCAAAACCTTTTTTTAAATTTTGGATAGAGTAAGAGAGGTATATAAACCTCATTGTGTGTGTGTGTGTGTGTGTGTGTGTGTGTGTGTGTGTGTGTGTGTGTGTGTGTGTGTGTGTGTGTGTGTGTGTGTGTGTGTGTGTGTGTGTGTGTGTGTGTGTGTGTGTGTGTGTGTGTGTGTGTGTGTGTGTGTGTGTGTGTGTGTGTGTGTGTGTGTGTGTGTGTGTGTGTGTGTGTGTGTTTGTCCTGTTGGGAATATGTCACTTCACTTTTTGTCCCATAGCCAAAACAGAAAGTCAGAGGAAATCCCTCCAAAGTGAATAAATCCCTGGTTGTCCCGTTGGGAGATTTTTCTCTTCTCATTTTCTGTTGACAACCCACAATTTGTGATTTTCATGCACTTTAAAATTCAGAGATAGTGGAAAACAAATAGTCCTTTTGGGACACAGACATCAATAAAAACTTGGAGGGGGTTTTAATCCCTCTTTACTAAAAAAAAACAAAAACAAATGGGTCTTTTTGTAGTACAGCTTAGTGCATTGCATTATTGTAAATATAAGTCTTGTGGGGCTTATTTACTAAATAAGCAGAGGCTTCACACTTTGTAAAGCGAATGTCAGTAAAAAAAATTATAAATCATTGTTAATGTCTTAAAAACATTTTTCTCTATTTAGCCTGTAATTGAGGCAGCTATATTTTTTACTAAACATGCAGAGTATGCTTCCTTCTTTCCAATGTACACTGCTTTACTACAAATCTGTGGGGTTGATTTACTAAATTATCCACTTCCCGACCGCCCTATAGCAGATATACTGCTACAGGGTGGCACGGGTGTGCAAAATCATGTATATATGCATGATTTTGCATTTCCAGGTAGGGGGCGCGCATGCGCCCTACCCGCGCCGCCATACGCAGCTGTCAATCTTCGGGTCCCGGCAATTCTCCTCCTTGTTAGCTCGTGAACACTGCTTTGGATGGCTGTGCACAGCACAGTCATCCAAAGCAGTGTGATTACAGTGAAGAACACAAGTAAAACAGCACACAGCACACAGTTAACCCTTTGATAGCCCCTCATGTTAACCCCTTCCTGCCCAGTGCCATTAGTACAGTGTCAGTGCTTTTTTTTTTTAGCACTGATCACTTTATTGGTTCCACTGGGGATGTCTGTGACACCAAGTCATTTCCCCCAGTGTCAGAATGCCCGCCACAGTCCCACAATCCTGCTATATGTTGCTGATTGCCGTCAAAAAAATACAGTATTTATACCGCCATTTGTAAACGATAAAACTTTCATGTAAACCATTTACCGTATTTTTCGCTCCATAAAACGCACCTGACCATAAGACGCGCCTAGGTTTTAGAGGAGAAAAACAAGAAAGAAAATATTCTGAACCAATGGACTGCGGACACAGTACAGGAGATGACCAGAGACTGCGGACACAGTACAGGTGATGACCAGAGACTGCGGACACAGTACAGGGGATGACCAGAGACTGCGGACACAGTACAGGGGATGACCAGAGACTGCGGACACAGTACAGGGGATGACCAGAGACTGCAGACATAGCACAGGAAATGACCAGAGACTGCGGACACAGTACAGGAGATGACCAGAGACTGCAGACATAGTACAGGAGATGACCAGAGACTGCAGCCAGTACAGGAGATGACCAGAGATTGCAGACAGTGTAGGGGATGACCAGAGACTGCAGACAGTACAGGAGATGACCAGAGACTGCAGACAGTGTAGGGGATGACCAGAGACTGCAGACTGTACAAGGGCTGACCAAGAGACTGCAGACAGTAAGGGGATGACCAGAGACTGCGGACCTTTAGGGAGGGAGGGCGAGCGGGTACCTGAATTTGACAGGTACCCGCTCCCACTTCCGCGGAATTGTCCTCCCTTTACAGTGGGCACCCGGCTGTGACCTGTCATGTGTCCCAGAAGATGCCGGACCATTCACAAAGCGCAGCGCTTCTCGCGCATGCGCAGTGGGCACCAGGCTGTCACAGATGCCGACGCGGGAAGAAGGCGGCGCGGGAAGACTGCGCAGCGCTGGACCGAGGAACAGGTAAGGTCCTGCATCAGAGAACAGCTGAGCAGCTGGCCCGGTATTCTGACATGGTGGCGGCGGAAATACCGGACCGGCCGCTTTATATTTGCTCCATAAGATGCACTGACATTTTCCCCACTTTTTTGGGGGGAATAAAGTGCGTCTTATGGAGCGAAAAAATACGGTAATTTACACGTACTGGGATTTTTTTTAGCAAAGACATGTAGCAGAATATACTTTGGCCTAAATTTATGATGAAATTTGATTTTTTAAATTTTTTTACTGGACATGTTTAACAGCAAAAAGTCAAAAATATCGTTTTTTCTTAAAATTGTTGCCCTTTTTGCTTTATAGCAAAAAAATAAAAAACACACAGGCGATCAAATACCACCGAAAGAAAGCTCAATTCGTGGGAAAAAAAAGACGTAATTTCATATGGGTGCAGCATTGCATGACCACGCAATTGTCAGTTAAAGTAATGCAGCGCCGTAACGCAAAAAATGGCCTGGTCAGGAAGGGGGTAAATCCTCTGGAAGGCAAGTGGTTAGTAGAATCAGTTCAAAGTGAATTATAGTAAATAAGCTGACCCTATGTTCATGCTTAATAATCATTTGAATAGAAACAAGATTTATTTCCATCACCCCCGCTGTCTTCAACAATGAAAGCCAATAAGAGCTGAAAATGACAGACACGTGGCCGAAATTAAGGATCTCTAATGCAAATAACATGTGGTAAACTTAGCAAATTGAACCTTTTTTCTACTTAAAGTATATGCTAAATTGTGCCAGTTAGTATTCATAAGTGGTTTTACAGCTACATACACATGCACACACGCACGGACCCATACACACACACGCACACACACACATACACACACACGCACATACACATGCACACACACGCACATACACACACATACACACACACACACACACACACACACATATATACACACACACATACGCACATACACACACGCACATACACACACACGCACATACACACATACACACACACGCACATACACGCACATATACACACACATATACACACACACACATACACACACACAAAGTTCATTATGTGGCCTTAAATAGAAGATAGATGAAAGGAGACGTGGAACAGAGAGGTTTCCCAGGGGTGCCTGGGATTTCCTACAGTTATTCCAGCACATGCAGATTATGGGATTCCCCTGCCACATTTAGCTGGTATTTATCTCCCATTAGTCTTCAGGGTCATCCTAATCCATTTTGTTAATGTCCGCAGAGCCACCCCCACACACACACTCACATTAATCTGCTTTTAACTTAGATTTCTGACATAAATGCAAGGATTTCCCTTCCAGCTTGCTTCTGATCCACGCTGAAATGCCCATCCCCCTGGAAGCAGAATGAATTCTTAATCTCTGATATGACAGTCCCATTTTGTGTCATCTTCTAGAGAGCAGTCTTTTTTAGGTTCACAGCAGGTTCTGTGAATAGGTCAAATGTAGAGATCACTAAGCATGTCTCTGTCAGCATTTAAAGGGCGACTGTAACTGTACTTCCTAAACGAAATTATGTGAAGAAAGGTTTTAATATTATTCAAAAACATGTAAAAAGGTATAGAGATTATCAGGTAAGAAGATTTAAAATTAAGATGGTATAATGGGGGTGATATTTTCCAACACCCACTAATCCTAAAGAAGAAAAAAGCCAATTGTCATTGTGTTGCCTCCAATGGCAGCTCACACATAACAAACTATAAAATGTCAAGTGTCTACATTTTTTGTCAGTGTATGAGAGATTTAGTATCTCTGAATTCTGTTTGATGCTTTTTTTTCACATATGTGTTTTTTTGTTGTTATTTTGGAGTATAGTGGACCCTTAACCACTTCAATACCAATATATATATATGAATTTATGGACTTACATTAATTAGTCACTTAATTTTTTTATTAACAGCGCCACTGAATCACTTAGGGTTCATTTGTTGTTTATATGATTTATTTCACTCAAGGTGGCAGCTGTTTTTATTTAGGTATATTGTATTATATTTATTTCCTTTTGTATAATTTGCACGCATCTAGCGCAAACGTTTTTTTTCACATATATCTGTGATTTTGTCTGTATATTTACCTGAATTTTAGGTAAAATAATTTTAAAAGTCAATGTCATATATATGCATAGCCAGCATAGGCCCTAGCTTTGGGTGGCAGGGCATTCCTGTGTATAGTTAAAGGTTCCGGACCGCTGCCATTCTTGCCGTTGATTTCTTGTTGTTGTTATCCCATCAGAGTTTGTGTGTTGCTGGAATAGTGTGCATGCAGTTCAACCAGAGTCTGTACACTTAGAACCAAATTGCTAGCAGAGTAGATTGACAGCTTGGCAGCTCCACAGCTCCTTTATATATTGAAGCAGAAAAGATGAACTGTCTCAGTCACAAGTATGCGTTGGGTGGATATGATATTAATTTTTTGAGTGTAATTCTACTGCCTGGTACATACAGTTTTTTTTTTCGTTCAACCCATTGGACTTTTTTTGTTCAACCCCCCTAGAACACACTGATCAGTGCTCACACCTATTGGCTGTGAGCACTAATCGGATACTGGTTTTCCAGCATGTCCCTCCAACAAAAGCCAGTCCTTAGACCAGCTTCTGTCAGAAGGACAGCTGTACACATGGTCCAAACGTCAGCCAATTCCTGCTAAACCGGCCAATATTCGGACCGTGTGTGCCCAGCTTTAGGCTAGCCAGGCAGCTGGACTGGAACAAGATAGGTGGCATGAGGGAAGCAGAAAGTCTAAACCTGGCCCTGAAAGCAGGTCTTTCTGATTTGTACTAAAACTATGCCATTTAGCAGTGGGTGTTTATTCTTTTCTAACCATTCCATATTACACAATAAGGACTATTTAAAAACTGAGCCAGTATTTATTTCAGTTACACAAATACAGTATGTTCTTGGGGGAAAAAAACATACACTACCTGCACATGTCTGACACGTACGTAGGCTTAAGCGCTGCGTAAATTGACGGTGATATATAAGTATCTGTAATTAAAAAATTTTTATTAATTTTAAATACAAATGAAAATTACTATTTTGGTAAAACAACCAAAATAACAGAACTATTGTAGCAGATTAATAGTATCCACCTTACATGGTCCCACTTTTGAAGAAAGTGTGAATGTGTGCACAGTGGGGTAGATTTACTAAAGGCAAACAGACTGTGTACTTTGTAAATGGAGTTGCACTCATTTTCATCCAGGACTTAGTAAATGTGGAGAAACATCACTTTGTAAATAATATCTAATATGGTACAAGGTAAAAAAAAAACAAAACATTTTTGCTTAACCTCTTCACGCCAAGCGTACGCAAATATGCGGCCTCTCAGTGGCTGGGCCTTGATGCTGAGGAGCTGCATATTTGCGTACCATTTGTAAACAAACATTTGCTGAGAGAGCACACCCTGCACACTCCCAGAACATGTGTCGGCATCCCATGGAAAGGTCCCCATCTTTTCTTACAATCGGGACCTTTCCAATCATGTGACTGCCGTGACAGCCAATCATGGCGGTCACACAACCCTAAACCCTGCCCCGCCTCTTGGCATCAAAAACCCCTTAAAGGGCTAGGAGGTGCCGCTGTGAAGGGGTTAAACATGATTGGATGATGGACATCAGCATAGAATCACCATATTTTTTAAGCTCTGGGGGAAATGAGTACCAATGCACTTGCAAACTGCAAAGTCTATTTGACCTTAGAGAGAAAACAGGTGGCGCACACACCTAGTGCATTATCCAAGGTTTATTGTAGGAGTGATAGAATAATAAAATCATACTCACAGACGAAGCATGTATCTAAAAAGCATTGAAAAATGACAATGGCCACAACGGCAGGCAATGTGTTCTCACTGTCAGTGCGGTCAAATGGCTGACGCGTTTCGGGGACGAATCCCTTTCCTCAGAGCTGATGACCAGCCTCTGATGCTGATGTATGATGAATCCGGAGTTTACTTCCTGTCTCGTGGTTTGCATTCCAGCAGCCATTTCCCCACAGGCATAAAGCACACTCCCACACCATCCCACTCAGGCATCAACAGCAAGGCTTTTACTTTCCATTCATCATACATCAGCATTAGAGATGAGCGAATCGAACCTGGCGAAGTGGAATTCGTTTTGAATATCAGGAAAAAAATTTGATTCGCATCGAATCCGAATTTTAGCAAACTTCGGGTGCACGAATCGAATTTTTCCCGATCAGCCGGCAAAAGTGTCACTGCAGAGAGCTCCGCTATTTCTGACAGTTCTGACAGTTCATTTACAGCGGTTGAAACATTGTATCTATTTGTTTCCATTTAGGATACAGATGTTTTTATTTGGAAATAAATAGATACAATGTTTCAACCGCTGTAAATGTGAAGGAACTGTCAGAGAACTGTCAGAAATAGCGGAGCTCTCTGCAGATACACTTTTTGCTGTACTGGAATACTTCTTCTTTTCATTCTTCTTCTTCTTTTCATTCTTCTTTCTTCTTCTTCTTTTTTCATTCTTCTTTTCATTCTTCTTCTTCTTCTTTTCATTCTTCTTCTTCTTCTTTTTTCATTCTTCTTCTTTTCATTCTTCTTCTTCTTCTTTTCATTCTTCTTCTTCTTCTTCTTTTCATTCTTCTTCTTCTTTTCATTCTTCTTCTTCTTCTTTTGATTCTTCTTTTCATTCTTCTTCTCATTCTTCTTTTCATTCTTCTTCTTTTCATTCTTCTTCTTCTTCTTTTCATTCTTCTTCTTTTCATTCTTCTTCTTCTTCTTTTCATTCTTCTTTTCATTCTTCTTCTTCTTTTCATTCTTCTTCTTTTCATTCTTCTTTTCTTCTTCTTCTTCTTCTTTTCTTCTTCTTCTTCTTTTCATTCTTCTTTTCATTCTTCTCATTCTTTTTTTCATTCTTCTTTTCATTCTTCTTTTCATTCTTCTTTTCATTCTTCTTCTTCATTCTTCTTTTCTTCTTTTCATTCTTCTTTTCATTCTTCTTTTCATTCTTCTTCTTCTTCTTCTTTTCATTCTTCTTCTTTTCATTCTTCTTTTCATTCTTCTTCTTCTTCTTTTCATTCTTCTCATTCTTCTTTTCATTCTTCTTTTCATTGTTCTTCTCATTCTTCTTTTCATTCTTCTTCTTCTTCTTTTCATTCTTCTTTTCATTCTTCTCATTCTTCTTTTCATTCTTCTTTTCATTCTTCTTCTCATTCTTCTTTTCATTCTTCCTCTTCTTCTTTTCATTCTTCTTCTTCTTTTCATTCTTCT